ATGAAACTTTTTGAAGTCAAACAAAGGATTTGCATTAAAAGGTAGGAATATGTACACTCCCTCTCTCCCTGACAACAATGCCCAACTTTGGTGGCTTTGATCATTTTTCATATCAAAGATATGGAATCTTTATGTATACTTAGATTACATGTTATTTTTTTTATTCAACAATTTGTAACACTAACATGATTTTTTGAACCCTACTATGACATTCTTACAATAGGTTCAGTAATCTTGTGCAAGTAAATATTGATATGGAGTACCTAGTTAGAAAAAAAAAACCTTGCAGTATTAATGAGTATTTACTGATTGTACACTGGGGTTCCCTAAATTTTCCTAATGGACTTTGAACACAGAATGTTTTTGGTGAGGTAACCAATACACTCACAATGGTTAAATTAGGTTGGTTAATTTAATGATTTATTAACTTTTGTTGGGTTATTAAATGTCAAATATCTGTATGACAAAACAAAAATCATAATGAATTAACAGATAGGGAGACAACAGTCTGTGGCTTACTCTAGAGTCAAAAAAAGTACACACAGGTCTTGTTTAGATGAGAGTAGAAATGACAGACACAGTGTGGGTTTCTACCAGAATTCTGAAACTATCCAATCAGAAGGTTGCCTATTTTGGGAGGGGTCTTACACTTATGCAAGGAAATGATAGGGAAATCAATACAATGGTTTTAATATAAAACAAAATATACATAAAGGCTTTTTGTCATGGTGTAGGCTTTGAATGTCAAATAAAGGCTACGCCTAATTCTTGAGTGATGTTGTGGACTTTGAATGCCAAGTAAAAGAGGAGCAATTGGGCTTCTGAATGCCAAATAAAGGCTACACCTAATTCATGAGTGATGTTGTGGACTTTGAATGCCAAATAAAGGCTACACCTAATTCATGAGTGATGTTGTGGACTTTGAATGCCAAGTAAAGAGGAGCAATTGGGCTTCTGAATGCCAAATAAAGGCTACACCTAATTCATGAGTGATGTTGTGGACTTTGAATGCCAAATAAAGGCTACACCTAATTCATGAGTGATGTTGTGGACTTTGAATGCCAAGTAAATAGGAGAAATTGGGCTTTGAATGCCAAATAAAGGCTACACCTAATTCTTGAGTGATGTTGTGGACTTTGAATGCCAAGTAAGAGGAGACTTTTGAATGCCAAATAAAAGGCTAAAATTCTTGAGGATGTTGTGGACTTTGAATTAAAAAAGGGAGAAATTGGGCTTTGAATGCCAAATAAAGGCTACACCTAATTCTTGAGTGATGCCATGGTCTTTGAATATTGAAAAAATTATACACCAGGGCATCTTTCAAATAGTGCAGATCTTTAATGATGAACAGAATCTATACCATTTTGGTGATAGCAACAAGCACAATAGAAAGATTTGGAAGATCCAAATGATTTATTTTGAAATAGAAAAAAAAAATTTTTTTTGGTTTAGTTCAAAGGGAGATGTTGATGAAATATTCTACACTTTCCCCCCACAATGTCTACATTTAATTAAAGACATTTAATTAAAGATTTACATCTTTAAACCTTCCAATGATATTTAAGCCAGACTGTACAATTATAATGGGGAGGGGCGAAAACTGAATTAAATCTTTTTATCATTGAAATTTTGCTTTCAACTAAAAACAAGCCAAAAAGAAAAAAAAGTAAAAGACAAATCAAAAAAACAAAAAAAAAAAAGAAAAAATTAAAAAAACACACGCACACACACAAACTCCCAAAACAAGACAACAATAAGTACTTACACTATTTTATGTTTGCAATTATGTCTCTGTAAAAAAACGCAAATTTACAAATCATTCGAAACTCCCACTTTATCCATTCAAAAACCCTACACTATACAGCTCAATTTAACCATATTGGAGCCCACCATAAAATTATTCATTCATTCATTCATTTTCTATGATTTATCAATAATATGCAGATTATTTAAAGCCAGATATTTTTAGAGATAATAATGATTTAGCAGTACAAGTCTTACTATATCTGTCTATATTTCTGAAACGAGGTATTATGATTATTTACACTATTTACATTGTTCGGACTGTTGTCCTCATCTTTATTGATGTATTCAAGGACACATGGCCCAGTGAATAAAAGCGTTGGTTGAATCCAGTGACTTGACCCAAAGAGTTGTGAGTTCAATACCTGGCTGAGGTAAACAAAAACTTGGAGAGTTGAGTTAAAGGGAGATAACTGATATGAAGACATCTGGAAAAGGCATGGCACGTGGAACTAGAGCAATCTACTCTAGTGGAAATAAAGGGCTTAGTTCAAAATTCCAATCACCTGAAGAAGGCTGGAGCATACAACGACCAAAACGCCATGAATATGGCAACAAAGATGAGGACAACAGCCCAAACAATGTAAATAGCGTAAATAAGTCTCATAGCTAAGAGCAGAAGATTCATACTTTTCCTAAGGGTCTTTGAATGTAAGTGAATATAACGAATCCAACTGGAATTGGAACTCCATCCTCCAATTAACAATTCTGAGCCATTATACACAATACCACCCACACATTTAAGCTTACAGGACCTGGTATTACCAAAGTGATCACTTACTGAAGTACTGACCAGGTTTGACATTGCTTAACATTGGTGATCGTATGTCAACCGGTGTCTCATCTGTAAGCTTGATGACAGACAAAAAGAAGACGTGAGACTATAGAGCTGTGGTTCCAACATATCGTGGCTGAAAAATATTAATTATATTTTTTTTTTTAAATACAGCATTAATTACAGATTTCTGCCAATAATCAATTAATGCGTACCACCCCATTTTAGGGATAATGAATATTAATGGGCTAATTCATGCCCAATGACCATACTTTCTTCATGATTTAAATATGTAAAATCATTTACAATGTGTTTCTGTATAAAATCAATCTTTATCAATACATTTGCATTATACACAGCTCTGTTCTGTCAGTAATGTCTGCATTAATTTCTGGTGCCTGAACATTACTTTCTGACTGATTTTGATTGTGTTTCCATAGTAATCTCATTATAAGTACATTTATCAGTCAGTTATGTGCTATGTATGATACATGCTTAGGTGATCATGTATCTTTTGATACATGACTGACAAGGCAGATTTTTTCCCCACAGTAGGTTGCCATTTCTTTCTGTGGTAGACCAGTTACCATCCAAGGTTATAGAACCCGGTCTGTCCTGCTATTCACCTATAGCTGGAGGGAGAAGAAGAGATAAGCATTCGAATTAGGCAATGTGATTCTTCAGTCCGAGCCGCTATCCATTACTCCACCTTGTCTCTGTACATTTATACTATACATAAATCTGTTGTATTCTGTGAGGAACTCTTGTCTTATTTCCTAACGACTGACAATCACAGCTCTAGATTCTCTACCTGTTCACCACCATTAAGTCGGATTTCTTTGGTCCTATTTCACCACAGCATCAGGTATCATGTTTTTTGACAGACAACACAGAGCTTTAGAATAAAACACCGAAGAATGTAGTTCCATATGACACAGATGCAATTTGAATAAAAAGAATTCAGCTCAACTGCCGTAGTTATATGGACCAACATGCAATATAAATCTGTGCTATTTTACATTTAACATAAAATATGTATCAGCATATAAAACCTTCATTTTTCCCTAAAAAGAAAACAGCACAGAAAATACACCTTAGATTTTGTATTCAGTGTCGGGGTATCTGGTTGGCAAATGTTTATCCAGACAGCATAGACTAACAGAATTTGTACATAACGTAAATCTATAATAATATTATCAAAATCTGATATCACTATTATTATTATTACTTCTTTATGTGTCATGTCAGGACAAAGGCGATTATGGCCCTCTAGATCTTCCTCTCCCTCATAGCTCATAATAAATTTTGTCTTTTTGCTATTTCTTCTAATCCCTGTTCCACCATCCATTTACTGAAGCTCAAGTATGTTACGTGCTGTTTTCCATATCGTTACCATTTTTTTTTTTGAGGAAACGAGTTTTGAAGATTGAGTTTAGATTCACAAACATAGCATTAGAATTTCATTCCAGTAATTAGTGAAAGCCTTATAGAACAGACTTATAAAATTTATAATTTATTGAAGTTTTACAAATTGTATATGGACAAGAAGCAAGACCCATGCACATTATTACTAAATCATTGTGACATCAAATAAGACCTTCATTTACTTCAAAGGGAAATTATACTAAACAATTTACCTATATTATGATGCAATAAGTTATACAATGCAGCAGTTTTAGTGCAATTTTCAATCAGCAATTCAAATTTAAAACATTTTGTCTTATAATTTGTTCCAAGTAGTATTATGGTGTTATATACACTTTTATCTATTTTTGTTTTTATTAATGATGATCAAACAAATAAAATTTATTGAGTAGCCATTTTTGTAATCTTTTACAATTTCTTTTACACCCAATCTATAGTTTCCTTTTCAATTTTCTAACCTTCCATTAATGGTAGGTGAGAAAATTGAACGAAAAGAATGCACGCAAACACTTATTCAAGAGGAGGTAGTGTGATCTTGTCTTCCTCCAGATACATTTTTTCATCAGTATAAAAGTGAAATGCCTTGCCTAAGTAAGGCACCATTATATATATATATATATATATATATATATATATATATATCAACTGCAATAAAGGGAGATTGGAACAACCTTCATATCAAGTACCGAAACCTATACGCCCTAAAAAAAAAAAATATATAGATGAAAATGCTAATCCAATCAATGCAGTAAAGACTAATTCTGTATGCTTCATTTTTATGAGCATAAACAAGTGATCTTCACTCCTGACACCCACGTGGCTCAATATCAGATAATGTTTGCCATAACAAAGCTCAAACTATTAAAACATGAATCTTATCAGCTAATTTTCCAAGAATCTTTTCCAATACAATGTCATCAGCCTTACTAAGAAATTTCTATTTTCTATTACAGCCTATTAATGTCTAACCAGTTGCAAGTTTTACAGTATAGCATACCTTTCTTTTTTGAAACTACAGGTGAAGGTTCTTTCTTTTCAATGCTATTCTTTCTTGATGTTGTGCTGGTTGCTGGTGCAGTTACGATCTTGCCCAGACGCTGCTTGACACTGATTGCTTCTAAGGGTCTGGCATCAGGTGACAAGATTCCTGCCGTTGACACAGCTGCTTCAGAGGTCGAGGAAGCTAAAAGAAATAAAAACATCAAAATAATAGTCAAACATTTCATCTTTTTTTATTTGATTTTAAAGTTATGTTAACAATATAAAAAATGGGCATTTTTACTTTATTAAGTAATATTTAAAATGCTAAGGGCATTATTCATATTTAATACACTAATGGCATTATTTATATTAGACTGAGGACATAAATTATAAATTATATTTAATACACTAATGACATTATATTTAATAGGATGAGAGTATTTTATTTGATACAATGAGGACATTAATTATATTTAATATGCGAGGGCATTTATATTTAATACACTAAAGACATTATATTTAATAGGATGAGATTATTATATCTGATACACTGAGGACATTATATTTAATACACTGGGGACATTATTTATATTTAATACACTAAGGACATTATACTTAATACACTGAGTGTATTATTCATTTTTAATACTCTAAGGATATTAAATTTAATACACCTGAGGATATTAATCATATGTAATACTCTTAGGTTATTATTTATATTTAGTACACCGAGGGCATTAGTTATATAATAAATATTGCCATTTGATATTTAAATTGTGTTGTGGAGTAAAGAGTACACGTCCAATACAATTGAAAGTACCATAAAGAGTTTTATGAGGTGGTTTGGTAGACGTATTAGAGTCATTCTTCATTCTAACTATACAGATGTTATGACAATAGCCTAAGCATTACGTATAGAGAATACTTTAAAAAATTACAGTATGCGAAGTATGAGTGCATGTCATAACAATAACCTTAAAACAGGAAGTTATAATAAATTGAATGTTAAATTCCTTAATCTTTAAGGAGGAGAGGATAATCCTTTCCCTTTTGCTTTCCTCAAGAGATTTAAACCAATTATTATCATCTTTTCTAAAAAAAAAAAAAAAAGATTCTTCATAAATTCCTTTAAATGAAAATTGTACCACTCTACTGCTAGTCTTCTATGGAGATGATTAACCAAAATTTCATGACTAATTCTCGATTATTAAAATTTAAAGTGTGCCCCAATGTTTTACTTAATTCAAATGATTTTGTTAATGTCCAACTGCTTGACCCACTTAAGTAAACAGTTTCAACAGTTGACCTAAAGATTTGCAATATCAGACTATATACTGGATCCTGTTTGAATGACTATTTCTTTCCAACCATTTCTATCATCCACAGCTCTATCCAGTCTTTTCTTTCTAAATTTGGCTTCATCTTATCAGTTAATTTACAAAGGTTCTTGCTGGCCTACCTCTTGAACTCTACACATAATTTAGATCTCATAATATAAGCTGTTTCAACAAAACAACTGATGTAATAAAGAGCAGTTGCTTTTCCATACAGTTCTTCATTGGGCATATGTTGCTTGGTTTGGTTTATTTTGTTTTACGGCATATCAACCTCAATGGGTTATTTAATGCCGACAAAATGTTCATTGCTGGTAATATTTTGTCTTGTCAAAAATCTATTTCTGGTAATATTTTTTTTCAAAAATTTATTGCTACTAATATTTATTTTTTAAAAACATTGTTGTTTTTTTCAAAAATGTATTGCTGGTAACAGGTTTTTTTTCTTCAAAAATTTATTGCTGGTAATAATTTTTTTTAAGTATTTCTGGTATTAAAACCTCTTTTTACACTTTCATAGTGTTTTGACCCCAGTTTCGGGGTTAATTATTTGCCCATAGCTGGGACTCTAAAAGGTGCTACCACCCCGGGGCAAAGTGAACCTGGGAACATCAGCAATTATGAGGTGGTTCCACGCTCCTCAAAACCTCCTGATCAGAGGCCTTGTTGCTGGATGTAGTTTATCCTCATACCCAGGACAGAGGCATATGCTGTTAAAAGCTGACAGTCAACTACTGTGTGTAAAAAGCAACCATTCAACTCAAAACAAAAAACCAGGAATAAGAGAAAAATAATTTTAAGAGGACAACCTCCACTGAAAACTTAATTTAAACTAAATAATTTACAAAAAAAAAAAAAAAATAAAATTACCTTTCATCTTTGTCAACTGTGGAGAATAATAAACTTGATGTGTATTTTTTAAAATTTGTGCAGAAAGAAAAGAGAGATGAAAGATATCACTTACCGCTAGACTTGTGTGAGGTAGGCGTTACTGCATTGGCACCAGATATCAGGCCAGATTTCTTTTTAGCTAACTTTCCATCATTATTTGCTGCAGTTATATTAACTTTTGTCTTCTTTGTTTTCGTCTTGCCTGGCAATGACTTGAGGATGCCAGCATATTCTAGAGGAGGCCCGTCAATGTCCTCGTCATCGCCAGATGTCGAACTCGCCGGCCGTTTTAATGTTGGCTTCTCGCCCAGTCGTGAAAACACTGATGATGATGTGGAACTTAATGAGGATGTCGAAGAAGTCACCTGTGAAGAGGAAAGATTCAGAACTCAAAATAATGTCTAAAATTAAATATTTACTCTTACATTTCAAAAGTAGGGAGGCTTTTGTTAAGGGAATTATCTGACTTCCAATCTATTCTCTTTATTAATTTCGCACGTTCCCTCAGAGTTCAAACAGGAAATAATAATTGTAGTCAACTCACATATTTAGTTCTATGCTTTTATGACATGAAATACATTGAAAAAAAATTTATTCCAGTGCATTGTTTAAAAAAGCGCTCCATTGTTTTTATTTCCAGAATTAAGATATTTTTTTCCACATCACTACTCTATCAATATTCCCAGAGAAATGTTCTGACAAGTTAAATTTGTTATTTTCACCAATTTTAACCTGCACAGCAATGACCATCCATGCCACATACAAAGAGTTGAATCATCCACATACCCCTCATATTCCATTAGTAAGAATGAAGTTCCACTTAAACAGCTTCTTCCAACAAACCACAGCTTTGTGGAACTGACTCCTAAGAGGATGCTTTGCTGAAAACTACAATCTTAACCTGTTCAAGTCTAGGTTTGGCCGTTATCTTTCCTATATATATCCTCGTAAATTGTGCTTCTTACATTTAACTCTTACAAAAAACTCCTTCAGTAAGCCTCTACTTTGATTAGCTCTGGGATTTTTTTTCTCAGCAGTGTCAGCGATTATCGAGAGTTAAGATGTATTTGCATGATATACATGAGGATATAGTGTTTAAAACATTGTTTTCTTCACTTTTAACATATAATAAGTTTTAAAGAAATTTAATATTGGGAAGTAGTAATGTCATTGTTCAGGTATCTTCTGGTACAAAAACTGCTCTAAAATTACTATGCATAAAAAAACAGCTGGGTGCTACAGTAGTGGCTCTAAATTTTTTCACCTTTTAAATGATTTCCCAACCTCTACCTGAAGATTGCATATAAACACCTGTATGGGTTATTTAATGCTGAAATCTAAATATTTTGAATATAGCTTCAACTACTAGTAAAATGTATTGTTAGTAATTTTGCCATAAAATGTGTATTGCTGGTAATTTTACTATAAATATGTATTGTTGGTCATTTTTTTTTATATGAAAATTTATTGGTGGTATTTTTATACTTTCATAGTGTTTTGTTTATGGGGTTTACTATTTGCCCATAGCTGGGACCCTAACAGGTGCTACCACTCTGTGTCAGGGTGAACTTGGGAACAACAGCAATAAAGAGGCAGTCTCATGCTTCTCAAAACCTCTGATCTCATGATCAGAGGCCTTGCTGCCAGATGTAGTCTATCATCATACCCAGGACTACTCATTATTAAGACCCTGCTTCATGTATTGAGTACCCAACCATAACTACTACTGCCTACAAATCTAAGAAAATGGGGATCTTTCTCTATCCCAATGCACTTTAGGATTTCAGAGTCGTATTTTCCATCCTCTGTTAAAAAATTTGGTAGCTATTTAAAGTTTTGTACCTACTTGATTTTGGTATCTTTTTTAGTCATTTCACCTCAAGCAAGGTGATGACGGCACTAACACACAAGGGTTTACTGAGAGTGAAAGAGAATGAGAAAAAGTCATTAGAAGGAACTAGAAAACCAATCCCAAGCATGAAACAAGGGATAAACATCTACTCCTGTGCAAAAGACTGGGGAGGAGTGTGAAACGGGCGATAGGCAAACCTCTCTATTCCTCCATTTGTAATTTGTAAATTTTTGCATGTTGGGTTGATCCTCTTTGCTGACAACCATACATCCCATCTTCATTAACAACCAAACAACCTCCATTTTACATTGTTTTAGGAGTTGGATATTCGATTCACAAAACTTCAGGAGACGGGTGTTAAAATTCCCACTAGTAAGGGGGTGAAGGTTAAACAGATAAATAGATCACAATAAACCTGTATCTTGATAATGTTCTCCATTAAAATTCATAACAATTTTAACATCAGGATGTTAAAGTTTGGATTTATTTTTAGGTGAACCCAATTCACACGTCTTCCCAGTTTATCTTTTGTTCCCAATTTAGGATTGGATTTCCAGTTCCTTCTAAAGTCTTTTCATTCTCTTTCACTTCCATTAGCCTCCTGATGTCTTAGTGGCATTATTGCCTTTGCTGGGGGTGAATTGATTAAAAAAACAAAAAATTCATACGTCTCAAGAGTGTCTTTTAGATTAAAATACTACAATATATACAAACATTCAAATCCCATAGACTCCCTGAGGAATATGGGGGTCACACCTCTCAGCATGCTAGGCATTGCTCCTGTGTTTTTCATAGTAGGTACTTATAGGATGGAGTTGCTAATTCAATGCCCAAATGTGTTTGAATTCAGAGCTGTTCTTCTTCTAGACTAGTTACCAGACATGTTTAGAGAGACCAGTCTGCCCTACTATTTAACACGCAGAAAGAGATGGATTTATATCTTTACCCAAGGTTATTTTCTTGTAAGTGAACTCAAGTGAAATTCAAACTCAGCTATTCAATATCTCACTCTGAGTCTCTATCCATTACATCAACTGCACACCCTACTACAATATACAGTTGATCAAAAGCCCAAAAGAGCAAAGCAGATGGATTAGAAGAGAAACAATGAAAATACCATGGCTGATGCTAACCTCCAGGAAAGTAACTTGTTGTGACTTCTTGTGCTAATGTTCTCAGTTGACATGAAGTGGAAAGACTATATTGAATCCATTGCTAGGTCAGCTGCTAAGAAAGTCAGTTCACAGTGAGAGACAATTTTTCTCTCCAGGATATATCATACATATCTATGTCTACCATTCGTCCATGCCTAGAATATTGCTGCCACATATGGTTCAGTGCTCAGTGATAAAAGCCAAAAAAGAATTAGCAATATTATTGGTCCTGTTCTGGCAGCTTCAGTCTGTTTCCCACTGCAGTAAAGTTGCACCTGTACCTTTTCTACAAATACTTTCATAGTAATTGTTCCAATGAGATCGTCACTATGATACCTAGACTTTATGAATTTAAGCGCATTACTAGAATTGTGTCGAGATCTTAACAATTCACGGTTGAGTTGGCAAGATATAACCATAAATTCTATGCTAACAGTTTCTTTTCTTGCACTTTTTGCTTGTGGACCTCTCTTCTGGCTTCTTGCTTTCCAGCCAACTTTAATCTGCAAAAATTTAAATGCAATGTCAATCGCTATCTACTGTCTCCCTGATTACTTCTTTCTCCCTCCACTCATTATTAATGTTTCTGTTCTTAATTCTTCCAGACCCTGTAACCCCTTATTTCTTAGTAGCTTTACTGCCTTACATGGGTGATACTGATTAAAATAAAGGGGGGGGGGTCTGTCTTACGATTGATTTTAGATTTTTTTGGATACTTACTTTGGAAGAGCCAGTACTTCGAACAATGACATTGCCAGAACCTGTGAGGGTGACTTTTGTGGAAACAGAATTTACACCCGTGTCTCCAAGGCGCTCAAATACAGACGACTTCCTCAGGTTTTTGGATTCTGGTGAGTGAAAAAAAAAATAAAAAATATATATATATATATATTTTCAGCAGCATTTAATAATCAAAATAATATTAGAATATGATGTCGGGATAAAAGAACCGAACAACAAACTGTAGGTACCTAGTACAACACCAGCTATTTGGTCACTGGCAATATCAAATATCACTGACAACACTTTACTGTCAGGATTAAAAAAACACGTTCAAGGATTCCTTTTTAAGGAACTTCTCAAATTTTTATACATTAACACAGAAAACTGCTTAAAAAAAAAAAAAAAAAACAACAGAAAAACCATCAGTTTTCAACCTGATTGTTGATTGACTTTTTTTGCATGTTGAGCTGATCCTTTTGCTGTCAGCAATACATCCTGTCTTCACTAAATTAAGATCAAACAACCTCCATTTTACATCATTTTAGGAGTGTGGATATTCTATTCACAAAACTTCAGGAGAAGGGTGTTAAAATTGCCACTAGTTATTCAAACCCCAAACATTTTTGGATTGTAAGAATAATTCTTTTTGCAAATAAATATTACAATATAAATCTTTTGGGAATAACAATGTTTCTTCCAGATACAGGTCCCACTATTTAAGCCATAGCTGGGGGAGGAGAAGAGATGAATCCATACCTTTCCCAAGAGTATTTGTGCATGATGAATGTAACACACTCAACTGGAATTTGAACTTGGCTCTCCAATTTCTCATTCTGAGCTACTATCCACTACACCACCTGCAAACCATTTTAAACATGAACTAGAAGCCCTTAAAAAAAAACTAAAAAGAAAATGTTTGGCCGGATTTTTTCAGGAAGGCGTGGTCTCATACTTACTGTCTGTGGAAGAAAGTTCGTCACAAATTTTGGATGGTTGAGGTGTGTTCATGGGGACTGCATTGGGGTCTTTGCCTAAATAATAATCCACAATTCTGCTGGCAGCTGAAAACAAAAGAGTAACAAAATGCGATAAGAACACAAAGTGGACATGCAGTTCACCAAGTCAAATAAAACAAGCCACACGACAATGAGTTAACTGTTTCTTGCTTTTTATTTTAGGACAATGTCAACGGTGATCATAGCTAGATAGAAAAACGAGTTCTCAACTTGGTATCTATGCTGATGACATAACCATTTACTCCTGCCTCAATAGTAAATCTGATCAAATCAATAAGGTCAAATTGGTGGATGATCTCAAAAAGGGCAGTCTGTTGTCAAGTGTCAATTTTAATGCTTCCAAAACAAAACTGTTCTTTATTAATCATCTGGGTGACTCTTACTGCATCCCATCAGTATTATTGATGATAGCCTCCAGGTAAGTGACTCTCTGCATCTTCTCGACTGACATGAAGTGGAAAGACTATATTGAATCCATTGATATGTCTACTGCTAAAAAAGTTGTAGAATATTGGTTAGATTGCCAGTGATCTGACACACAAGTAGGCTAGTGTAGCCAAAAGCCACAATATTTATTACTGAATATTACAGTAAATGTGGCACAAGGCCAAAAAGGGGGTGAGGAAAAGAGACGGTCATCATCTGTCTTAATTTATAACTTAGCTAGCCACAACCACTGACCCAATCGTACAAAACAGTAATCCTAGCACCAAAACAACACATTCATACTTACCTTTCTTACTACATCCACCAAAATACCTCATTGTCTCAATGAAAGTCCTAAATAGTCCCCATATGTACAAATCGTTGTCTGTGAGGGGAGGGGAATAAAAACAGCAAGCTAAAAACATCCCAATGATATATATGCAATATGGTTATAAACTATTTACAAGAAACTAAACAAAAAAATGTTAGTAATAAAACCCCCCACAAACATTAAATGTGGCAGAAAATTCAGTTAACTAGACGAAATTGATGCGGGACTTTAAGAATATAGCTTTTTTCCATCCCATTCATCCGTCCCAAGCACTCACACAGACATGCACTCATTCTGAGACAACAACAAATACGAAAAACACGCACGTGAAATGAAAGACGCCCCGCATCCACCAGAGAACTGAAATCACTGACCACCTAACAAGGGAGGGGATGGGGAGTTAAACTAAAAGAAAAATAAGTGGGGCAGAAATAAAAGGGGCCAATGAGTAAACACACCCTAGAAAAGAAAAAACTAAAGAACCTACTTCTAGCCTAAATCATGGGTTACCTAAGTTTAAACCAGGAAAACAATATCCTGATGCCTAACCGGCATCAAAATGCCACTCCAAATCAGCCCCTTTTCTTAGCACATACGCGCAAGATTCACCCACCTTTTGCCAAATTCTGATGATGTGAGCTGCCGCCTTTCCATCCTGATCTTGACTTTAAGCTGATGCTTAAAGAACAAGATCAGTTGGGAAGAAGTGAACTTCTCGCCCTCATAGAATTCCTTCTGGCGCGTCATCCAAATCACGACTCTCAAAACACCTAGTAAGCAACAGAACACATTGCTACAAACAGAACTGGCCTCAAGGACAAAGAACTTTCCCCACAGCATGCGAACCATGAGGCCTTCAACAAACTTGCACAACGGCACTACCATCCTGCAATGAAAGAAGGTGTGACCAATGGTCTTGACTTCTCCAGTACAGCGACGACAGTTTGGATATTTCTCCAAGCCTGCTGAACAAAGTCTGTAGGTGACCCAGAGAGCTCCACAAAACATCACCCAGGTGCGTGATGCCTCATCATTATTGAGGCATTTCAACCCAGGCGCCCAAGGCCATATCGAGCAAGCCTCCTGCTTCGTAAGACCGAGCTTGTCAATCAGATCATCCTGAACAGTCCCCCTGACTAACACTTGATACAATGCCCTACGAGACAATACCTGGACGTTGGAGAGGCCATCTGACGCCTGTAAGAGGAGTTTCAGAGCACGACGACATTTGTGGTAGAAGGAGCATTCGGCTCGGGGTGTACGGCTGGCCTCCTCCCGGCACGAGTGCACACTTCTCAGGGATGGGAAATGTTTACGGACGTCTTCCTTCCAGAAGGTGCCATCCTCATCTGATCCGCAACACATTCAGTAGCCAAAAGCCACCTGACTTGAGTCATTTCATGGAGAAATATATGGGTGAATAAAGACCACTCATGCAAAGGTATTGGGCAGGTCCATTCTAGCAAAATGGACCAACCTAACTGGTGTATTAGGCACTCTCCTATAAAATGAGGTAAAATCAGCTGGCTTGCTTTACAAGGAAACAGAAGAAGGCAGCCATGTTGGCAGGTAAGTCACTTGACTTCTACAAAAGTTAGTTCACTGTGTAATGTTACACAAATTTTCTCACCTGAACCTGTTACATATCTACAAATCTACCATTTATGCGGGCTTCGAATATTGCTGCCACATAGGGTTCAGTGCTCCTGCTATATATTTTGAGATTCTTGATAAAATCCAAAGACAAGTCAGCAATATTATTGATCCTGACCTAGCATCTCAGCTTCACTTTCCCATCACCATAAAGTTGCTTCCCTGTGCCTTTTCTATAAATACTTTCATGGTCATTGTTCAGATCAACTCTTTGCCATGGCATCTAGACTTTATGAATTTCACTAGATTGGCAACAAGGTCTCATCAATTTACAGTTGAGCTGGTTAGATGTAACTGTAAGTTCTACGATAAGTTTCTTTTCTTGCATTTCTCGCTTGTGGAACTCTCTTCCGGCTCCACGCTTCCCTGTTAACTTTTATCTTCAAAAATTTAAATACAATGTCAACTGGCATCTACTGTCTTCCCAATTACTCTTTTATTGTTCTCACTCCTCAGTAATGCTTCCATTTTCTAATTCTTCCACACCCAGTAACCTCCTATGTCTTAGTTGCTTTACTGCCTTACATGAGGTGAACTCGATTAAAAAAGAAAAAAAAAAAAAAAAACCACATTCCAAGATACATTTTTAAAGTCATCTTTCTTTGTTTTTTAATGTTATGACTGCCAACTACCCATGGTGAGCAAACTCAGTATACCTGCCTATTTAACCCACATCTGGCCTGTAGAGTGGTCAGCAAGGTCAAATAAACGGTTCCTACAGATTTGTGTTAAAAAAATTCCAGGACTTTTCAAGGACTATGTTAAGAAGAGCCTTAGTCTTGGGAACATTCCCAGCACATCCAACTGTGGCCAAATAGTCCGTGATAATGTGCTGTGCAAACCAGAGCCTACTGTTTCATATTGTCAGTGGAAATTTCTTTATTGACTAAGAAACCTCTCTCTACTAAGGTTGTCCATGAGAGAGTACCAGCAATCTGTGAACAATTTTCTACAGTTTTTTGGTACTCTTTGTTGCTAGACAAAGAAGAGTAGAACAAAGTGTCCAGATGGTCTTTAAGCTTGCTGAAATTCTTGAAAGCAATATTTCCAACACTATCCACCTTGAAATCTTTGTATTGACTGATAATGTCATCACAATCAGACTTACCAACTTTTCTGTCCATCATGTGGGAAAGACATCTTTTTAGACTATCTTCTGTGGCAATTTTTTTTTTTTTCGCAAATGGGTCCAGGGTTTAGCCATGCAAGGGAGAATTTATTAGAAGTTTTTCAATGATGGTGATGAACATTGTTTCAATTCTGCATGCAAACAGATTTTTTCTTGTTGACACATCTTTTTTTTTTACTCTTGAAATTGACATACAAATAACATTTAGTTCTTTTTTTTAGTTAAATTTTAAAAAACACTGATTAATTTTTCAAAATTCTACTAAAATGTATTTTATTACTGTAGATATCTCCACTAATTCGCTAAAAAAGAATATACATTGAATATAAAAGGCCCCAAACTTGATGAAAACAATTATTGTTTAAATACTTATGTTATTATTAAGAGGAAAGACAAAAGTATTTCTGTATTATTTTTCTGGCACATCCAAAATTGAAGTTAAAAATCTTGTTTTTTTTTAATTTGGCAAAAATAACAAAAATCAATGTTATCCACCATTTTTTCAGAAATCCTGTAAACAAAAGTTAAATTCTCTGTTTAAAAATCTTGTAAAAATCAATTATACCTTTTTCAAAAGTTACTTGAGGAAAATTAGAAAATGTAAAGTTTCCTTAATGTAATTGGGAACAAATATTACTTAATTTTTTAGCAAATAAACATTAGTTGAAAATGAGAGAAGCCAGTCTAACCATGGTGACTTGTTTTGGAGGTTTGAACTGGCATTTACATCAATGTATCAACAGCTAATGTGAGAAGAAGTTATTGGACGGAAGGACAGAAGTGACTATATTTTCAAATTTTAAGTGAACCAGCTTATTTAACTATACAGTAATTTTTAAAAATTAAATACTTTCATAAGTCTAATATTTTAATTTTTTTTTTTTTTTTAGATACTTTAGCTTTAAGCCTTATGCTTGAAGAGGATTTCTTAATATATTTTAGAATTTTTTAGATACTATTTTTTAACAAAGCTATGTCGAAACCCTGCACTGTTTCCATCCCTATAATTGAAACTAAAAATGAAAATAATTAATAATTGCAGTATGTCTCTCACTGAAAAACAATAAATTAATTATACTTAAAAAATTAAATTATTTAGTGAAATAGGATGTAAAAAAGAAAATTCTCACCAGAAGGAAAACAAAAAATTTTCTGAGGACGTGTTCTTGTTGTCAGGGGAAACAACTCTTAAAACACATGACATTTATGTCTCATACATTTATCTAGTCATATATTTGGACAAAACGTTTTAAATTTTTTTTTTTTTTTTTCACATACTCAAAAATTATTTTAAAAATACCCGTGCACCGCAGATTGTAATAATCTTTCAAATTTATGATCTGTAAAATAGATCTACTTAATAACAGCATGATTGCCAATATCCTGAGACGACATGGCACATAGTAGATCCTCATCATGTTTATTTTGATCCCTAACTTTTGGCCAATATACCCTCTTTCTTAATACTAAGAGAATTTTGACATGAATAAAAAATCAATGAATTGTTTTTTTTCAATCCGAGAATATATTTGATTGCTATATAAGTTATTTAAGTCAGCACATATGTTTGAGTAGACATCTCTGTTTGCTTACTAATAGTTAAATTAATATCTACTGACCCAGATTATCAGTGTTATTAAAGAAAATGTACCTCTTGGTTAAGGTCTAAACTGCATTCACTCTCCCAGCACTACAGTAATAAGTATCGATTGATTTATTTGTTCAATGGCATATCAACACCTTATGGTCATTCAATGCCAAAATTTAATTTTCTTGGGAGCTTTGAAGTAATAAATGTTATTTTGCTTTCACAATTGAATACATGGTAGATAATACACAGATTTTGTGCATATATATGTTTGTGTGGAGATAATTATTAGGTGGTTTTTAAGAGTTCTTTCATGTTGGTTGTTTAGGATTTGAGTAAAGTCACTACAGTGACTATAAATAGGTATTGTTTTTTTTTATATATATATATATATATATATATATATATAACACTCTATTGCTGCTATTTTGCAATAAAAAATATATTTCTATACTTTCATAGTGTTTTGGTTTTGTTTAGGCATTCATTATTTGTGCACAGCTGGGACCCTAACAGGTGGTACCAGCATGGGTCAGCATGGACCTGGGAACAACAGCAATTAAGAGGTGGTTCCACACTCCTCAAAACCTCCAATCCCCTGATCAGAGGCCTTGCTGCCAGATATAGTTTATCATCATACCCAGGATTCAGCAATATTTGTAAAAAATAATATATATATATATATATATATATATATATATAATATTGTGTATTTAGGTAGCAAATGCTAAGGCAAATATTATTAAAAGTAATACTCATACAACAAAAACAACTATCAACAAATGAATGAATTTAAAAAAGAAAAAAAAAAAAAACACACATCACACCTTATTTATGTCACAACACTCACTAATTCTATGAAACTTAACAATTTTCTAATTTTTTTAATTACCTACCCAGATGATGACTTAGGAAAGTCAAAAACTTGGACCATATTTCTGGTACTTTTCTTTCAAAATGAACCATAAACAATTTTTGACAGAATTTCCTCCTAGCCTGAGAAGGATTATACCTAACTTAATCATTAGAATTAATCAACACAAAATGTCTTGTTTTATATATATATATATATATATACACACAAACAAATTTAGATCAAATATGGAAATACTTAGAGGGAGGCCTGATAAATATTTTGGCATTTACAAAAATGCTTTATTATATCATCACCTTTCATAAAATCCATACGTAAAGAATCTAAAACCTGTCTGTCTACCTACAACCACAACCAGTGTAACCTAAATTCTTTTACTCTCACACAAAACATCCCCCAATCAACATACAAACACCACCAAACATAAATAAAAATGCCCACAAGATACTCAAACACACGGACATATATTATCAACCGAATCCCACATAGACAAACTAGAATTTCAATATACATACACACATGAATTATACACACGAAATGTAAGGTCTGTTTAACCAATAAAAAACAAACAACTTAAAAATATAAATACCAGAATTTTCTTTTCTCCTCCATATTTCATTTTCTGATGAAGCTTAAATAAAAGTGAAACATGTTAAATTTAAGAATGTTTCCTACTTGTTCTTTCCCCTATCATATACATCTACCTATATAATAAATGTGAATATCAGTGTGTCACACTTTTTAAATTAAAGGGGCACAACTCTCTAAATTTCAATAGCTCATGTTACAGAAATTTTGAATTCCCAAATTTTCATTATTGCAATTGTTTTCAGTGATTTTTTGTGAAAATTTTTTTTTGTATGGTAACAATTGGCAATAATTAATCAAAACTGTGAAATTTAGCGAATGCCACCCATGAAATAAAAATAATTGTTCGTACGTAAAGTAAGTACCTATGCACATCAAATAGCCTTTAAATTAAGTGGCAGGAGAAGAATTATCGTTGAGCTTTTAAAAGTTAAGCCTAAATATTAATGCAATAGTTAAATGCAACGATCAGTTTTGAGTTCTTCTGTAATTTATTGTTGCCTATCGCAGACAGCAGCAGCATGCCTCATAAAAAGAAATCTCCACCAACAGAGGACCAGATTGTAATCAAAGGAGTCAAGGCTGAGAATATGCAAAGACTTAGGGACTCTCAAACTCATGAACAAGCTGAAGGCCCAATCAAGGGCTCTCCACGCAGGAGTTCGCTTAAATGCCACCCGATAGGCAGCTTTTATGATATATATTTCTAAAAAAATATTGGATTTATTTTTAATCTGACATTTTTATTACTTCAAATGTTGTTATAGTGGATACTTGTATTTGAAACAGCCACCACATTTTCATTTTAAACTGTGTGTTACATGCACAGCCTGCACATTCAAATCTTAATAAAGGAAATATGTTCTCCAGCATGAATCGTACCCCCACCCCCTCTGTAGGAGAACCCCCCCGTTTGATGCATAAAACCCTCAATCACTATAATTTGTGACTTTGTGGCAGCACAATTGACGGCTCCTGAATGTATGTCTACCCAATTTCACTCACAAGGCTTGGGTTAACATGTGGTGTGGTTTTCAGGAACTTTCCAAGGGCACACAGCACACTAGGATCGCCCCACCCCAAGGCCAATATAATCAAGTCACGTCCCTGGCAAATCAACCATAATGAGATATTCAAACATGGGTCTCACAGCCAGCCAGTAAACATTCTAACCATTCAGCCACAGACACAGACATGCACACACATATATATATATATATATTATTGTTATTATAAGAGATTATAATAAAAACATGATGAAATCACTACACAAATGCTTTCATTTTTACATGAAAGCATTTGTGCAGCAATTTCAAGGTTTTTACTATAATCTCTTACAGTAAAAATAATACTAATAATATATTGCTCTTTTTTATATTGAGCACTTTTTAAAAGTAAATGCTATGAACAGTGAAATTTTACTCCATCTGTTCTTTCTCTCATTTGTGTATGTATGTATATATATATATATATATATATATATATATATATAGTGTGAACATACAAATCAACACTGCATGGTGACAGTGAGTATTATGCCTTAAATAATCATCAGATTTGATAATTGCTGATAGCATGAAAAGGATAGTCACTAAGTATGACTGATTGATATGGCCAAGTTTTACAAAATTTCTATCAATAATACTGAACACACTTCTCCATAAACAGAAAACACTTTAAACAATTACATATATTTATAAATACCATCTACATAGAGAAGCTACAGATAAGTGTATATGTGCTTGCTTACCAGTGGATCTCCGAGGAGTGGTTGTGTTTGACATCTGGTTTGAAGGTGATGAGGACTTTAAGGCTTTTTCCCGGGCTTCCTATAATAGAAAACAAAGGCCAATTTAAAATTAAAGCTCCAAAGGTGTTTATGCACATGCATATATATATATATTAAATATTGGTTTCTATCTAAAGTTGTATTTTATATGGCTATCTTCCACCTTGATGACTGCTTCATTACGAGATATGATAGCTATGAGACTTTGATCGGATAAAGAGCAAATAGGAAACATTTTTAATTTCACATGTTTTGGTTTTTATTTAAGGTTCATCGGAAAATGAAATGTGAAGGACAAAATAAAATTCTGGTATTTTTTTTTGAAATACCAGAATTTAAAAAAAAATTAAAAATACCAAAATTTGAAATTAAAAAAAATACCAGAATTTTATTTTCCCCTTCACATTTCATTTTTCGATGAAGCTTAAATAAAAACCAAAACATGTTAAATTTACAAACATTTTCTATTTGTTCCTTTATCATATCATTTTGTCAGATGTAGATCCATATCAGATCCCTATATGTGTAGACACATACACTATGGAAAAGAAAAAAAATTATAACAATGGAAAGTGTATAAAAGAAAAAACGAGAATCATAAGCAGGCAACTGCTGATACCCCCTGACGAGTGAACATAGTAATTCCTAGAGGGTCCACCTACAAAACTCTGGAGTTGGGATGCTTAAGGTAACATCAATCATCTAAGTGACAAATCTTTTACTTATATTAATTCTTATATATATATATATATATATATATATATATATATATATATATATATATATATGTGTGTGTGTGTGTGTGAAAAATTTCTCAGAGTTAACCTGTAGAAAAAGGCAAAATGTATAAAGGTAAAAGACAATAAGAAAACTGTATTATTAGCTGACATGTTTCATCCAATGTGGATTTTTCAAGGTAAAAATGAAATGAATTTATTGAAAACAAAGTAACTATAGTAAACTTAGCAACTAGAAGAATTCAACTGAAAATTACGTCAAGTACATTCAAGTGTAAAAAATAAATTGAATAATGTTTTCTAAATTCTTCTAGTTGCTAAGGACATTGTTGTTAATAGTTACATTGTTTTCAATAAATTCATTTCATTTTTGCCTTGAAAAAGTCTACATTGGATGAAATGCGTCAGCTCATATGATTTTCCTATTGTCTTTTACCTTTATACATACATAAGTGTGTGTGTGTTTATATACCGGTACGTAGATTATTGTTATCACAGTCGTTACCAAAAGTTTAGGACCACCCAACATTTTTTTTTTTAATAAATACAAACAAAAATCTCAATAGCATAAAAATAAAAGACAATATTCACTTCAATGCATCAAATATTATAAATAATGATTTCTATCAAAATTAGTATTTTGCATGGCTACCTTCCACTTTGATAACTGCTTCATTACATGGCATGAGAACTATAAGACACTGAAAATATTCTTCTCTCATCTTCATGATTCAATTTCCTTGATACCCATCCACAAGAGTCTTGGGAAGCTGGGTATATATATATATATATATATATATATATATATATATATATATTGATTTGTTTTTAGAGCCCATCAACCCTTTGCAGATAAAAGATAAAAAAATTTTAAAGATAGAAAATAGTTTTTGATTAAAGTTTGATTAATAGTTTAAAGACAGAAAATAGTTTTTGATTGTAAGAAATGTTTTTTTTTCTTTTTTGACGATAATAATGATTTACTGATACAAGTCCTACTAATTAACCCATAGTTTGGGGGATACCTTTCGCAAGAGTATCAGCACATAAGTGAATATAATGAGTCTGACTGGAATTAGAACTTAGCTGTCCAATTTCCAATTCCACGCTGTTACCCATTACACCACCTGCACATCCAACCTTATCCTATCATACAGATATATACAGTGCGATGGATAAATTGTCGTCTGAATGATACAACAAAAAAAAAAAAAAAAAAAATTGAAAATAACATTGATATTTCATTTTAACAGATATATTTACCAAGTTTACGTAAAAATATTTTGACATACTAAAGCGTAAATTTATTCAATAAAATCACAATTGGCTTCAACCATGTCCTCCAGACGACTTTGGAATCTGCAACTCTTCTAGATGGTCTTGCTGATAATAATCAAAGGGGTTGCAGTCTGAGGAGTTAGGGTGATGTGGTCACAGAAATTGTCTGACAGGCATGACAAGGTTCTCCTGCTTGTGTGGCATGGTACAGAGTCATGTCACCAGACATAAGGTCTTCCAGCAGCAACACCCACTTGACCCAGGGCAGCACTAACTCTTCAAAGCGCAATGTAGTCCTCCGTGCTGAGTCTGAGTCCTTGTGGAAAGATGAATGAAGGCATAACATCACCATCACTAGTGATCACACCAAACACCTTTGTAACCACCATTAGACTCATTCAACTCTTTCCGAATCCTCTGCACTGTCCTCAAATTGATACCCAAACACTCTGAAATGTTTGTATTGGAGCCTGTTTCCAAATTTCTAGTGGAGTCAATTGCGTCATGGTGATCTTTTTTCTCACAGACGGTGCCCAACTGACACTAAGTGCAGTCAACAAAATCAAAAACAAACAATGCACATGCATGAAATTAAAAATATAAAATGGTGACAATGTACCCATCATGCCCTGTACATGTATATTTCTAATGGATTAATGGATTTCTAATTTCTAATGGATTAATGGATTTACTTTTAATCCGATAGTTTTATTACTTCAAATGTTATAATTGTGGTTACTCATATTTGAAATAGATGCTACATTTTATTTTTTATTTTAACAGCATGTTACATGTCTATCAGTCTGCACATTCAAGAAATCTCAATAAAGAAAATGTGCACTCCGGCATGGATTGAATATGTGCCCCTTTTGTAGAAGAAACCACTGTTTAATGCTCAAACACTCGGTCACAATGACTTGTGACTTTGTTCAAGCTCAATTACTGATAGCTTACAAATGATTCTGTCTAACCAATTTCACTCACAAGGTTTGTGCCATCTATATTTCTGAGATGAAGTATTATGTACATTATCTACATTATTCGGACTATTGTCCTCAACTTTATCGCCATATTTATTACAACATTTCAGCCGTTGTACGCTCCGGCCTTCTTCAGGTGGTTGGAATGTCGAACATAACCCGTTATTTCGCTCACTGGGGTAGACTGTTCTAGTTCCACGTGCCATGTTTAATGGATGTCAGTTATCAGTTATCTCCTATTAATTTCCCTTTGAAAGTTCTCCACTGCCTTAACCGGGTATTGAACTCACACTCTTTGGGTCCTGTCACTGGATCTAACCAATGCCTTTATCCACTGTGCCATTCCTTATGTTTACAAGATAACTGACATCCATTAAACATGGTACGTGGAACTAGAACAGTCTACCCCAGTGAGCGAAATAAAGGGTTAAGTTTGACATTCCAACCACCTGAAGAAGACTGGAGCGTACAATGGCTGAAACGTTGTAATAAATAAGTATTTTTGTATTCGATCATATTACTCTTTTCCCTTATTTATTTTTTCGTTTATATTTTAATCGTATTTTATTTATATTTTTTTGGAAAAAAAATCAGTTTTCAGGTGCTAATTGAATTCAACATAAAATAATCCTATTAAACAAAATTAATTATTGCCCATCATTAATATAAAAAGTATCTATAATGTAATCATTCCTGACCAAGCATCTTGGCTTCAGTCACTTTCTCACCAACGTGACATGGTTTCCCTCTGTCTTTTCTACAAATATTTTCTTAGCAACTGCTCTGACGAGTTTTTTGTCCCTGGTTTCCTGAATACACGAGTTTAAGTGTGCATCTAGTTCCCACCCTTTTACTGTTGAAATAGCTAAATGCAACTGCCACTTCTACTTCAACAGTTTCTTTTCTCGTACTTCTCATATGTGGAACTCCCTTTCACTTCCTTACTTCCCTGATAACTATAATCTCTAAAAGTTTAAATGCAATGTCAATCGTCATCTATCTTCTTGAACATCATTCTTCTTTTGTCCTTTCCTCAATCCCCCCTATTCTCAGTGTTCCCTTTCACTTTCAGTCCCTGTAAACCCCTGCGTATTAGTTTCATTCCCATTCATCTTTTGATCTTTCTTCAATCTTCCCTATTCTCAGTCTTCTCTTTCACTTTCACTCCCTGTAAACTCCTGCGTACTAGTGTCATTCCTGTTCATCTTTTTTCCTTTCCTCAATCCTCCCTATTCTCAGTTTTCTCTTTCACTTTCACTCCATGTAACTCCCCGCATACTAATAGCATTCCTACCTTGCTGGGAGTGAAATAATTTAAAAAAAAAAAAAAAGAAAGAAACTATCAAATTAACAAGTATAATTTTTAAATGGTACATAACTTAAGAAAAGCACCATTCATATATAACAGTTATCTCCCTTTAATGTTCTACACTTGTATTTTCCAATGAAGTGAACTATTTGATGAAATGAATACTTAGTATAACGCTCTTTGGTTAAGTCAGTTTTCAGACAAATGACATACATTGTTATAAACTGGACTTTTATTTTTGGCAATGACAAGAATCCATACTGTTCAAACACTGAAGAATTCTTCAAAAACTGTTTCAAATGTTCAAATTAGCAAATCAATGTAAACATTACTTTTAGAATCTGTCAATATATATTTGACCACAAAGAGAAATGTAAAGGTATTTCTTCCACTGACCTGTGTATGAACCACCTTGGCATGTCGAAGGATACAGATTATATCACCGAGTACCGTAATGCCCATGTCTTTGAGATATTCTTTGGTCAAATCTAGCAGCATGTCCTTCTGAATGCGGTTATCAGTGAATGTCACAGCATAATTTGTTGCCTCACCGGCAGGGATACCAGAGTTGACAAAAAACTTCAGCCAATATGACATGAGAGAGGTTTCTAGAAAAAAATAAAAAAATAAAAAAAAATAAAAGATACTGATATACAATATAGAGAAAATAATGAAATAATAATAAAAAAAAAACAGGTGAAATTAAAAGAAAAAGATGGAAAAAAAGAACAGACGAAAACAGGATGAAGTTAAAAAGAGAAAAAAATTAAATTTGATAAAATGAGTAGAAAAAAGAAAGAAAAAAATGAATGGAAGGAGTATGAAATAAAAAATGAATAAAGATTAAATGAAAAAGGAATAAAAAGAAATGAGAATAAAATGAATGAATAAAAAAAAAATGAAGAGTGGATTAAAAAATGAAAGAAGGAATAAAAATGAATGAAAGTAAAGAATAAAATGAAGGAATAAACAAAAGGAAGAAATAAAAAAGAAAGAATAAAAATGAATGAAAGAGGAAATAAAAAAAGAAGGGAAACAGAGGAAAAGGAATTAAAAATGAAGAGAGAAAGAATGAAAAGATGAAAGAAAAAAGGAAAGAAGAAAAAAAAAAAAAAAAGAATGAATGAAAGTAGATAAGAATAAAGTGAATAAATAAACCAAAATAAGTAAAAAGGAATGAAAGGTGAAATGTAAATAAATGGATAAAAAAAAAGGAAGAAATAAAAATGAATGAAAGAAAGATGAACTAAATATAAATAAAAAAAAAAAAAATAAAAAAGTATGAAAGGGGATGAGAATAAAATGAAGAAATAAAAATGAATGAAAAGAGGATGAAAGAAAAAAATTAAAAAAAAAAGAAACAAAAAAGTGAAGGGATAAAAAAAAAAAAGAATTAAAAAAAAATGTAGACATCAAAAACAAAAAAAAAAAAGTAATGAAATTAAGTGATTACAACCAGACCACCCATAAACTCAATGGGTTCCTTTCAAAAGCAGTTCATGATACAAAATGGATGATGTAATATTATTATTAACTTGACTACTCATGACCTATTGGGTCACTGACGGTTCAGGTTATAAAACATTGAAGTTCATTTCAACATACCAGTTAATTTTACTCTGATTTAGTTAAATATTTCAATTCATTCATGTCATCATTGGTCTGGTTTACAAGTTCATGTTTAACATTTTACTAATTGTTTACAGTATTTCATAAGAATAGAAATTCTGGGATAAACTTGAACTCCAGTAACAGCATTTATTTATGACAGATATGAATACTTGTACAAAATGCAAAAGGAATTGTTATACAACATATAAAATTAATGGAAACAATTTTCAGAGTATTATTCACAAGTATTTTCACAATGAAAATTTCAAGTCATTTTTTAATAATAGCTGCCCCCCCCCTTCAAAATTCCTTTTTTCTGTATTTCCATGGATGTTTCACTGATTGGACTGAAATATTTTTTTGTTTATAAAGTTGTAAAGTTAATAAAAAAAAAAAAAAATGGTTTTATTTTATTTTTTTTCAAATAATCACTCAAAAATACTTTTTAATAATTAAAATATTGTAAACAAGTAATGAATTTACAACTCTTTGGGGCAAGTAATCCAAAAGTGATTTTGGATTGTTTCAACCAACACTTTTATCCACTAGGTCATGTGTCCTTAAAGGTAAACAAAAACTTGGAGAGTTACTAAAGGGAATTAACTGAAACTGACATATCCAGAAAAGGCATGGCATGTGGAACTAGAACAATCTACCTCCATGTACAAAATAAAGGGTCCAGTTTGAAATTCCAACATATATCACGTGAAGAAGTTGCGTACTGGACATGTGGATCCCCTCGACAAATGCGTCCCAGGATAAATCCATATCTCTGATAATTTTTTGATCTTTTTTTTTTTTTAAACAGTTGTTTAATATAGAAATTTGCACACTTTAAATACTCTAAACAAGCAGAAAGTTAGTTACCATAATTAAAAAACGAGGTAAAAATTTCTTTTTTAAAGTAAGAGAAAATTAAGCTAGCAGTTTCAGTTCACCCCAACAGTGTGTACCCCAAACATCAAATAGATTCTGGATTTTATAGATTAGATTTTTATTTGGAACCCATGGGTAAGTTCTGAAATTCAAACACTGGTAGGAAAATATTTGTGGATGAGGAAAATTACAACTACCACTATCATAAGAAAAACACAGATGAAACAAAAAAATATTGGCAACGTGTAAAGCAATCTTGCAACACCGTTGATCTGCCATTGCATTTTAAACAAAATTAAATTAATTTTTTTTATTTTATTCCTTTTTTAAAAATTTATGATTACTACTTAAAAAATTATCAGAGGCCTCAATTGTCCGGTACACAACTCTCCTAGAAATGTGCCCTGACTACATGAATTTAATCATACTAGTAAACTGGCAACTAGGTCCCACTGTTTTACTGTTGAACTAGCTAAATGCAACTGTCACTTCGACTCTAACAATTTCTTTTTTTCTCCATATTTCCTGCCAGTGGAACTTCCTTTCAATTTCTTCATTCCCTGATAACTACAATTTCCAAAAATTTAAATGCAATGTCAATCGACATCTTCTGAACCCTGTTCTATTTTTTTTATCTTTTCCTCAATTATCCTAATTCTCTTTCATTCCCTGTAAACCCTGTGTTCTAGTTGCACTATCACCTTGCATGGTGTGAAAGAATTAAAAAAAAAAAAAAAGTACAACTCAGGATGTGCTTGCTGATACCTGTTTGATTTTAGAAGTATTGAAAGTTACAAGCCAGTACTTCCCATTGAGCTGTTTGAACTCAGTCAGAGAAGAGATCAGCTAATAATATTTTACCTAATTCTCAAATCTAAGTCTTCCACTATCTTTCATTGGAACTTTGAAAAAATGAAAAAGAACATCCCTATAAAGGGATTATCACTTCTTTGTAGAAGAAGTCTATCTCTTCAATTTTGGTTTTAGTAGCAGTGAAAGCGTAATTGACTCAAAAGCCTACTTCATTTCTGCATGCTTTCACAAATATAGTGATTTTCCAAGCGTAACTTTGATGTGGCACAAGGCCAAAAGTATGGGGTCACCCAGTGAGAATCGAACTCACTACTCAGTCATAATTGCTCTAGCAAGACAAGTTTACTAACCATTACACCGCCTTGAGGTGTCCCATGCTTTTATGAATATATGCCAGACAAAAGACTTGTGTCTGGTCTTAAAGTTTATCTAGAACAGTGGTTCTTAATCTTTTTTACCCATGGGTCATTTTTACTCTTAATTTTTTTTTTGTTGACCCCACCCCTCATAATCATTCAATGACAAAAGAAGCTTATTTTATTTTTTACTAATAGATAAGTTTAGGAATTGTATTGTAGAAGTAGTAAATGTATATACTTTATATTGAAGTAAAACTAATTTAATGAAAATAAAGTTGTATTTAACAACTATATTCTATGGAACATTTATGTACACTAGTAAAATAACTTATAATAAAACATTTTAAAATATGTGAGTAATAAATACATTTAAAAGAATTGCAGATTTATTCAATGTCGTTGATGCTGCTGAAGAAGTTAATACTGTTAATACTTGTTAATTCTTTATATATAGTACTTAGGAGACACAGTGGAGTCATGGATAGCAGCTCGGATTAAGGAATTAGAAAACTCAGTTCAAGTTCCAGATGAATCTATATTCACTTATGTGATAATACCCCAGGGAAATGTATTCATCTTCCTCCCTCCAACTATGGGTAAATAGCAGGACATAAAATAGCATACATAATTGTCAGTGTATTTTTTTAGTATAATCCAGCATTTCTCAACCTTTTTATCCTTGATATAATTTTCATGTCTCAGGGAACTCCTGCATAAAAAACACCATAAAGACATCACTAAATACTTTCCCTATGATTATTATAATTTTAAATAATATAAGAGGTTGAAAACTTTATCATAATAACCAAATATTTTCCGACAATATGCCGTATGTGTATAGTAAGGTTACTGATATAAAATTAAACAAAAATTACTCAAAAATGCATTAGCCTAATTTCTCTTGTGTAACCTTAAACAATCTTTTGCGGAACCCGTGTGTTCCAAGAAACACTAGTATAATCACTCACAATGAATTTAAATTATACAAACATTAGCACTATTAAGTCAATTATAGTAGCATTCCTGACCAAGTGCAATACTAACCTGTTTATTTACACTTGGACTATTGTCCACATCTTTATTTTTTCACAATATTTCAGCTATTGTGTCCTCGGGCCTTCATCAGGTGTATTATGATCTGGATAATATACAGGAAATTATGAACTGGGCCCTTTATTTAGTCTACGGGGGTAGATTCTTCTCATCCCACTGTCCATGTCTTGAAATAGCCTGTCTAGTTATTAATTTAAGTACTGGCATAGTAAATTTAAGTTCATTGGAAACCAATTTTTCTTACAAAAAAAAAAATTCCTGCAGATATTAAGTGCCATGGCATTGATGCTTTTCTGCTAGAGACACATGCACAGATTACCAGCCATTTCTGGACCAACAGCTTCAGAATTTTTTTTTTTCAGGACTAAACATCTTGAAATTTTCAAATATCCATGTCCTGAATGCTGACTTTGATAAAGTGTGCGGCTTAGCCAAGTCAGGTGCATTGCAGCCACATATAAAGAACCATTCAAGATCTTGAAGAGACATTAAAATTTTTAATATACACATTGGGAATGCAAAAACAAAATTTGTTTGGACAAGCTAAAGCCAGCCTTTTTGGATGCTACATGACTAAATTGAGACATACCAGTCACTCCACCATCTCCAGTAACACCAGATTTACAAATTCAAATTGTGACCAGATCCAAGCATCATTCGATTACCCAGACATATCTTCATTTGTTTTCTCTTTTGAAGCACATATTTTTTCATATTCTAACACAGGAAGAACTTTTTGTGCTATTGAATAGACATTGTTTCAAACGCCATGTTTCCACTAAGTCC